ATAGGAAGATCCATTATTTCACCCCACGTTTCACCCACACAATTTTTGTGTTGGAAAGTGACCCAACGTTCGTGGTCAAACGATCCAACATATCATCCTCCGCGCAGAACGAAAAAGGACTGGGTAAAAGGTCGCGCTAAAGGCTGCACAGTTTCGCAACATTTAGATCCGAAAAACGAAAGGCAATCACCGCCTTATCTATTTATTTTCTCCTCAAATACTTCAATTGTCATCGCGGTCTTTTAGGACGAGCGTTGCATCTCTCATCAAAGCCGTGGCCTAAATTCGCCCCCTTGCACTTTCTTGAAGCTCCTCGGTGGCGCTTTATGGCTCTTCTCGTGCACAGAATTCGTTTTATTTCGCTATATTTTCAATAATTAGTGTAATTGATTGTAAGCAAACGAAACCAGCCCGAGAAAATAACAATGATGAGATGGGATGATTGAGTTTTGGTACTCTTTAACCAACTGCGCGGGCGCAGAGCAACAATGTTGGCTGAGGTTGGCAAGCGGTCCATCATTTCACACAACATTTCAAAACAATAGAATTGTTGGATATCGGCAGCCAACATTCAATCAGTTTCATCCATTGACTGCTTTTGTCTCTGTTTTAACCCTATCCAGGTTGGGGAGGGGGGCTCGTTCAGTGCTCTACATTACTTAATTAATCGAGCAGTGCTCTACATTGGTAGACTCAACTAGCACGTTGCTTTTTGACTTTTAGTTTCTATTTATATGAAGTATAAATTTTTTTAAAAAAAATTAAAAAAATTAAATTGGAGGGAATTTGGCTGTTTTTTTCACAGTGGTCAAGGACAACATTTAAGGAATCTTTTGATGCACTTAACTCATCTAACAGTTCATTGCATATTTAGAGATAATTCGTGGTGTTCTATCAAGTAATGTGGTACAAAATTAAAATTTCTAGAAATATATTTTTATGATTGTGTATATTTCTATTGTCACTACGGAAGTTCCGCTTCGGAAGTTACAAAAAGTTTCGAAATTAAAGAAGGGGAAGTGTTGAAACTGAACAAGGGTAAATGTTCAAACCGAAAAAGGGAAAGTGTTCAAACTACACAGAAAAAATAAAGCTCGTGTGTTCAAAACAACGCCAGGAACAATTTCTTCAGTAAGTTGAAAGCGAAAATAACAGGGAAATTTAGTAATAGGGAAATAGGTATTAATAAGTATTTGTCGCCCTTTTGAAAGCAATTTTAAGTAAAGAGAAGGATATTTTCGGGAAACTGATCGAGCAAAAAGTGGGTGAGGTGCAAATTGGATGAGACATCTTTCTTTGCCTACAAGTTTGAAAGTTCGCCGAAAAAACATCCCACGGGCCGAAGATGGCATAAAACTCCTTGTTTTTGAAATTAAATTTGTTCGGGGGACTCACAACATTGTTCAAAGTTACATTTTATTTTACAATAGGGCCTCGGCTTGTTCTACATTGACCAATTTTGAGGCTCATGTTCTTAAAAAATTGCTCTTATTGAAAATGAGTGCATCATTTTCGTCTAAGCAAATGAAGAACTTTCAGGTAAATTGTCGCTATAGAAAATATTTTTAGGACCAAATGATTCAGAATAGATAAATTAAAAGGTTAACAAAACGATTCAATTTAATTTCAACATTGTTTGCGAAAAAAATTATCTAAAAAAGGACGCGACTCACTTTCCATCATGAATGCTTGCCCTTCCCCTTAGCTTCAACACCTCCAGAGAGTAAAGCCCTGGCCAAACGAGCAAACATTTCACCCAACATTTCACCCAAAATTTGGCACAACCGTTTTTGGGATACTCGGATTGAGTCCAAGACAACCTAAGCCTGCCTTCCCTGATCTTGAAAGCAACGCTTTTCTTTTCCCCAAAACTCTATTCATCTCCTATACGGCTTCGTCGTACTCATCTTTACTCACTAAATCTCTTTCTTCGTACTCTTCAATTATCCAATATTCTTCAGTCGTCCAAATCAAGTCTACGCTCTTCTTCTTACAATTCTGATCTCTGCTTCACGAACTCAAACTTGGCGTGCAGCGCTATTCACATTTATAATTTTTTTACAGCGCTTGCCTGAAGCTAACAAATGTTGGGCAACCCGGCCAAACGAGCCAACAACGCCCAACAACACCTTGAACAATGGGGATTATTTTAATCACCATCCAACAGCCTCGGACGGTTTTGAGCAGTTTTAAATCGATCCAACATTTCACCCAAACATCAAAGACATATCACCCCTGATAATTTTATTTGAGCTGATATTGCAAATTGGGGGGGGGGGGCATCGTTTATTCTTAAAATGGAATTCATTACTTTAATAGGCCCCCTTAACCACGAGGCCCTGGTACATTTTGCCCTAAACCCCCTCCCCCATTTCGGCTGCCCTGTTTACTGTGCCTGGAATTATAGTGCCTCCCCATACCCAAATTTACATGCTACGCCCTTTCCCTTTATCTTTGTTCAAAACAAAATATACCAGAAATAATAAGATTTATAGGGCTGGATACAGGGTTCAAGCATGGGGGCGTACTCCCTCCGATGGAGATAATCTCCGACGAGGCGAAACCAAAGATAGGGGTCTAGGGCCTAGAAGACGTACACACCCACGTGTAGGTGGAAAGTATATTCTATATGGGGTACTTTTTGGCAGTTTGGGCAAAATAGGTTCTGAATTAGGTTCTTAATTTCTACCGAGTAGGTTTTGTTGTTGATTATCAGAAAGTAGCATTAAATCTGGTGTTTTCTTCATTCTAAAAATTTATCAGTGTACCGATGTTGGCAAAAGTCCACCAAATATATTTCATCAATGATATAGAACTTCATAAAATAGCAGGCCCATAGACAGCTAAACTGGATTCGAGGGGGGGGGGGCATGGATAGAAATATAGCTTTTTCTAAACCTGCCTTACGAAATACTGTCAGATCAAGCTGCGCTTATAAGATCTTCAAGCAAAATTATTGGGGGGCATTGCCCCCTGTCCCCAGTGTCTATGGGCCTGCAAAATAGTAGCAATAATTGTTTTATAATAACTGTTCAAATTTAATATACGTTGTGCATTATCAGTGTTATTTTAACAATTCAATTTTCTTTCATCGTTCTTGTTTTTGGCAACAAAGTATATAGATTAAATGGTTAAACCCCACATATAAGAACCTGTTGGAAATTGTTTGGCTAAATAGGCTCTTATATTTTGAACTTGCTTCTGTTGACAAGCAGATCATCTGAAGTTTTGACAAGCACAGACGCTTAAAAATTTTGCACTTTGTTTTAAAAAATAAGCCCTTCGATAGGATGCTTGATTCAAAGCTTGATGAGGTCACTGTCTTTCAGTTTGAGCGTCAACTTTACGAGGTGTTTTCGTTGGCCTTTTCGGTACTTTTAATTTGTACCCGCATGTTTATGCCCATTAGCAGATATCAAATTTTAGCTGCGGCGATTTTACGCTTTAAAATGTACAACAAGCATTGACATTAATGGAAACATCTTTTAAATTCAAGAATACATTAACGATTTATTTGACTATTCGTAACGAGATTCTATAATATTTGCTACTAGGAAAATGAAAAGAAGAGCAATAAGTTATAAAAACATTGGCTGTTAATATAAAACTTCTTGAGAGAGATGACAGCGGATAGAAAATATATTGATCAAGATGTATTCATCAAGATGCATTGATGGGGCGTCTCTAGAACTGGAAAACCGGGTGCTAATCTGGACAGTAGTTGTGAGACTGAACCCTAAATCTTATAATCACTCCAATTACTATCGTATAATTTCACGCATTTTGAAAAGCCCAATAATATTGGCTAAATATCGTTCACTAGAGTTTTTGAAAGCAATTATCCCCTTTATTATCATTGACAACGAAATTAACATATTCAGGTCAAATTTTCCCATCACTTAAAATTTTCTCGAAACAGCGTTAAACACGCAGAGAACTGTTGCAAAAGTGAAATATGTATAAAATTCAGTTCTCACTGTAATAGATAATTCAACGTGGAACGAGGGCAAACTGCCCTGAAATAAGAGCAGCTGATTACCATTCAACTTAAAGGAAAATAAAGATCTGTTTGAAAACATCTGCATACGTACTTTTGCATAACAAGCAATCAAAGTTTTATATAGCGTGTACTTATCAGACTGACCTGCAGTTGTTTCTACTACGCATATTCTTTGTCTATTTCCTATTGCTGTCTTATGGCTACAAATTAACTTAGTGCAAAGAACCTAAACTCTCTATATCTTGGTGTTTTCTTTCTGTGAGATTAAGGGCAACCTTCAAAAGCCACAATCCAGGTCAAACATTTTCGGATATGAAATATGGGAGGGTTTAGTGTTTGAAAATAACTACGTGAAAAAATGGGCACAGCTGCGCTGAACTTTGAAAAAAATACAGTCTTTTGAAAAACATTATTCATTCTGTGGCCATTTTCCAAATTGAGATTAAAAAATTGAGGTAGTCTGCTTAGCTTGCTGTAGAGACAGCGGTACACGAATCTGCGGAATACAGACACTTGCTTGAGGCTGCCCAGGAAAAACTCTAACAATGAGCATAGTCTTTCTCGTTTAGAGGTGCAAAAGTATGGAACAGCCATCCAACATAAGAAGAAAAGGCTATCTCAATATATGCCTTCAATGGCCTTATATCATAACGTATTTTAGGTATCTAATATTTCAGTCTTCGACTATGATTTGGGTTACATATTTCTTATTACTAGTTAATCAATTTTGTATTTGTATAAACTAAGGGGTCCCTTGAAAATCAGCAGTGCTGAAATGCTACCCACCTAAATATTCGAATTGAAAATTAAATAAAAGGATTTAAGGACTATCGGTACTTTGCATTAAATCATCAAAAGACGCAACCTTGCCTATAACTGGTAGTAAGCTCAAACGGTAAGTTCGCAAAACACTAAAATACCCCCCCCCCCCTTTTCCAGCCATTCATGAAAGCACTTTTTTGTTTTGCAAATGGGCATTTGAAAAAAACGAAAGACAAACCTCGATTTGGATTTCCGTGATATCTTCTTGCACAATCCAGTAAGGGAACAGGTGAGTAAATTGTTCAGGTTCAAGTCCAGCATCAACAACGTAACAGTGCGACAATGGGCGTCCAACCTCTGTTATGATATGAACAAATAAGCATTAAGATTTCAAAAGAGGTATAGCAAAGCTATAGAGCAAGGTCTAGTTGCTCCAATGAATACAGTGATTAAAAAAATGCAAATGAACTCAGCCCCTCAAAGCTAGCTACTAGAAACAATAGACATTCTAAATCTTAGAAGCAATGCCTATTTTAAAGATTCAACCAATTCCTAATAGTTCCTTTTCAAACCAACATTGAACGGCTTAAAGCTTTGCGCAAAACATTCGATACATTGGCGTATGAGCATCTGCCTTAAGATACGTAACTTTGTTTACTGTCAAACGAGCCAAATAAGTAAAGGAACGTGCGGTATACAAATTCGCGTACCTTTTGCATATAGAACCACACTTTCCATGGCTTTCCTTTTATCTACATCCCAACGCATTCTTTGTGCATCTGAATTTTCACTGTCCTCCTCCTCAGGCCACCAGCCAAGCCACAGGTACAACTCATGAATTGCATCGATAATAAAAATACCTGGAATAAAGACAAGGGTTGGCAATTGACATAAAAGGTACAATAGAAAAACACAGAGCGAGCGAAAACAGAGCGAGTGAAAGAAGGGCCAGTGAAAGAAGGGCCAGTGAAAACAGGTCAGTGAAAACAGGGCCAGTGAAAACAGGGCCAGTCCAGACAGAGAAATTCAAAGCACTACTAATACTCTGTTTTTAAGACCTTTTGTGCAATTGCTTGGTGGTCAGATAACAGAACCACTGCAAACTAGAAAAGGGAAGGAGCACGCTTTGAAGAATGTTTGGAACTGCACCATATATCTAAAAGAAAGTGTTCGAAAAAAATTCATTTTGAAAAGAGGATTAACTTTTCATTGTCAGTCATATTCACGTTTTAACTAAAAAATCCCACTAAACTGTCTTACGCATTCTGTATCTTAGGATTTTCCACTTAAACAAGGCCATGACATTCCCATTATATCTAAGTCAACATTAAAAAATGCTTTGAAGACTGGAGCTTATTATGATAAACATTCAAACTGTGCACTCATTCACAAAAGGTAATTCACAAAGACTCGTCTTACCTGGTTGACTAGAATCATAAAGGTCATCTTGCAGAAATGGGAAAGGACATTTTTCCTTTGGGTCAATTGATGGGTTGATTATTTCACTAGCAACGAATTGCCCTGATGTGCTGGTTAAATGAAAGCATCTTGGAACAAAGTCCCATTTATTGTTTAAATCTGCAAAATCAAGAAAACAAAATACATCAAGGATCTCAATATTTTCATAAATTGGTGCAATGATACAGAATTATCAATATCAAATATATACAACCATGTAATCTCATTAAAGAACTAGTTTAACCAAGAAGTGTTATAATGGTAACAAAGAGAAACTGCAACTTTTCTAGAAGAGGGTGCATCCCGCAAACCCTACTTAGCAAGTTTCATTTGTGCTGTTGGTACAACCAGCCCTACCAGCCTCTAAGCAACATGAACAAAGACTGAAAACCAGTAGAGCAAATACTATTTCAACATTTTACCAAGTCTCCCTGGACCAATATTCAATCATACTTCAAGATAGTACTATCATTTTCTTCACCTGTTAATAAACTTCCGTAGTCGTCTTCACCACCAACAGCAACCCAAAATACCTCTGGCTCGTGCCCTTCCTCTATCTCCGTTAGGAAAATCTCTTCCTTGTTGGAAAGAAGTGCCTCCTCTGGGTGACTATAAAGGGAAAACGTGGTTATCAGCTAGCAGTAGAGGAATCATCATCGAGTAACTGCAGATTCTACTCACTACTACAATTTGAAAAAAATTGTAAACAAACATTTTCTATCCTAAGTACAAATAATTCAATAAAAATCGATTAAAATTTTCTTTCTACTGATCCCCTTCTACTGATTGTTGCATTTGTCCAATCAAAGTTGATATAATACTCATTAAATTCGACGTAGCGAAAATGAAAAGTCAAAGGAAAGTATAAAAGATTGGTTTACTGGAGTGCTTTATGACACATTATGATTCTGGGGAAACTGCTCATACTTTTTTAGAATTTATCGATACATGAAAACCTACTTTTAGTTTCATAATTAATGGCCCGCCCTGTTTTTTAGTAATTTGCGCAGCACCTCAAACAATTCGCCCATTTTTGCAGGATCAATATTTCAGAGCAACTTTTAGAGACACTTCATTTTATATATGACATGGTGTCTAGGGTACTGTCATATATATTATCAAAGAGTTTTTAAATCTTAACATCATAACAATTTCTTGTTTGAATTTAATATCTTTTAGGGCTCACATCATGACAATTTGAATATTTTGATCTCTCAGCCAGCTGCACAAATCGTATTAAACTTGTCGCCTCATATTCAAAACAAATGAATTTAATAAAAGATTGCTGAGTAATTATAGCGAAACATAGAGCGAAACAGCTCCGAATTACAACATGGCTTGCAGGTTGGCATTCATATCGTGGATTTTACCACTGAGATACAATAATTTACTGTGCTGATAGATCGTGCATATATAAAAGCTTTGAAATTGCTTTTGTTTATCACAAGATAGAGCATTGCACTGTTTTATTGAAAGTAGCTTTAACATTATTGCTCTCCAAGTTAAACTAAAGACTTAAAATCTAATGATTAAGGTTGTCATTCTTCAAACACCCTAGACAGTTTCTTGCATAATATCAACGCGAGAAACAAATCATCGGCGAGCGACAGCTGCAGTTACTCACTAACCTTTCTCTAAAATCCGCAGTGAGGATTGGACGCGGATTACAGATCCAAGGGTCTGTGGCTTAAGTCCATGACATGATCAAAATTTTACTTAGAGTGAAGAGAGTCGTTAGCTCTCTGCTATAACAGGCAGAAAAATCACGTTGGTCATGTGGTCACGTCGATAGACAGAGCGAAGATAATGATATGGCTGCTAAGTGTCCTAAATTCTGTCTTCGGAAACTAGATAGCAACAAAAACGAATAACGGTGTGCATACACACTGTTTTCTTATAACTTACTTTTCAATAAGTCGATGAACTGCATTGAGAGCAGTGGCTCTGGTTGCATCGGAAGATTTGCATCCGTGCCAAAGGAATATTTCCGCCTGTTGGCATAATACCAGGACAAAACTTGATCTCGACCTGAGTGACGTAGCACTGTGCATAAAAGAACTAAGATTGAGTACTGTAACATCTTTCATCAAAACATATAACAATGCAAGTCGCAAATTAAGCAGTGAAATAAGGCATTGCGAACGCACAGCGCAAAGATTAATCGCAGTCGAACAGATTTTTTATAATACCGTAAATTATAAAATAATATCTTATTTCAAGAAAGCCCCCACAGGACAATAGCTATACAGTATTGCTTTCTTTATTTAATTGAGAATATTATGTCATTTTTATGTCGACCTTTGAGAAAAATTATTCGAGGCTTATTCGAGGATTTACGGTACTGAAAGACAGGGAGCAAATAATCTCTTAAGGAAGCACTATCAGAAACCGCTTTGCAAATTTTTTCATTGATAAAATCACGAGACAAACCAATAACACAAAATGATACAAACATGAAACTCTGGATCATATTCATAATACAAAGTCGTTCGCATTGAAGTATCTTGAATAGGAATAAAACAAACACAAAGAAAGAGTAACTCATAATAAAAAATATTTTTATGTGAAACCTGGGGCTATTTTACAGACCAATTAGGTGAAATTGGAGAAATAATAATTGCCAAAAATAATAACAAACAATAGTAATATTATGAAAAACGTACCTTACGGGGACTTGCAACAAACAAGCTTCATTTGGATTTTCATTTCGTACGCAGTAGAAGCGCACAGTAGATCGATCTGTGATGCAATAATATATTTGCTTAAGCATGTATAGAAAAATCAAATATACTAATGGAATTCTCGATATAAAGTTTGTTCCATTGAAAATAAGAACACAAAATGACAATCTGCTCCCGTTACGGTCGCTGCAAAGTTTAAAAGGAAAGACAAGTTCCTTGTTATGTAAAATTGAAAAATAAGCTAAAAAAATCTAGAAACTCTAGAAAAGGATCTGCCTAGCAAATCTCTTTGTTATTTTGCCATTTTTATTACACTTTAATTCTTCGAGAGTGCAGCATGGATGGAAGTCTTTGGTTTTATTCTGTTTCATCTCAAAAGATATAAAAATCTAAACCAGAAAACTGAAATTCATGTGGAAATGTCTTACCACTAAATGCTACTTGATCCGTCTTTGATTTTCGTCTAGAAACAAAAAGGGGACGAGCTTTGTAAATGCAACACAAACACAAAGCAGTTTCAATGAAAGCTAGAAAAAACCTAAATTTTAAACTAATTGTTTAACCCGAATAAAAAAAAGCAAGGTTAAGAAAAGAAGCTGATGATAAAAGGTAAACAACAAGTAAAACAAAATATCTTGTTTTTAGTCCACACACGCAAACTTTATTCAATAAATAAATTCATTTCTACAAAATTCGTTAAATTGATCTGAAACCGCTATAGAAGAAATACTGTTCAATCTACTGTATCCTGAAACCAGAAAAGCAACTCATATAATAGAGAACCCAAACCTCTTAATCAACATTTCTAGGAGACCTATAGAAGCAGTTGGGAAAATAGTAAACAAAGAAAGCATCAAAACTACCTAAAATTGCAACAGCTAAACTTGTAAACTATAATTCTACTTAAAGCGATCTAGAAGGAATAAAAAAACAAGATTCATCAATTTACACAGCATTACAATCTTGCAGTCTAAACAATATTCACAGAAATTGGCTTTCATAACTCACTTTCCAGCGTGAATGATCATCCCTCCATCAAATACATTGAGAAAACATGGAGGTTCCTTCCCTTGGATCACCCGCACCTGCAGAAGCAATAATAGTGTAATTGTGCATTTAGAGGCTTAGAAATAAAAGCAAGTTGAAAAGTTTGAGAGTACTTGGACAAAACGCAAGTGCAAAATTATCAACTAGGATTTTTGTCTAGAAGCTGATGTAACCAAATGGAACTCTTTCTAGAAATGTAGCTAGAATCTTGCCAACAATGAACACTTGAAAGACCAGATTATGAAATGTCAATATCTTGGGTGTTGATAGTCACCGATTTGTGGCCATAAATTTTCACGAAAATTTCCCTGTTATATTTGCTCCCTGAATTTTCCTGAAAGTCTTTAAATCCTGTTTTTTTGAAAACGAAATGATTCGCACTGAGAATGAGATGATTCACCTATGTGCAGAAGGTCTTCATCTCTGAACAAATTGAGTGCAGAAGATTCTAAACAAAATAGAGTGTCGAAGCCTTTGACACTTTATTTTGTTTGGAATCTTCTGCAATCATTCGAAGAAGTAACAAAATTTGGATAGCTTACATGTGGCCCACGCTCCTCGTCTAAGTCAACAGTCATTACAGCAGTGGCTCCTTGCTCGGTTACCGAACAATCATTACCAAGCCAAAAGAAGTAGGCACAACGATGACGCCCTGATGCTTTAGCCTCTTCTATGTCCTTGAGCATCTTCATTACTCGAGAAGCGACAATACTGTATTCCCACCGTATAACATAGCCTTCACCTAAAACGAAACAAGTAACCAGTATTACGTTATCAACAATGTGAAGATCTTGATTCCTTTATATTCATTTATGTTGAGAGAATGACATTGTTCGACACCTTTGCCAGCCATGACGACTAGGCTAAAACAAACTATCACACATTAAGTGCCATACTTCATTAGAAAAGATTTTTTATCATAAATCATTCGGCATTTTTCGCTTCAATGGACGACCCAGCAACTTTAAATGATTGTTTTAAAAATGAAGAAAATTGCTTAAAAAAGGACGGCATGTTTACAGTAAATTACATAAGCTACCGCTGACGTGGGCCTTGGCAAAGACATATGTGCTAATAACGCAGCCGATGTAAACAACTGGACCCGTATCTAACAAAATTGTTTTTTAATTGATAACAGTTTTCAATTGACTTCAAATTAATACACTAAACATGTAGCAAGTAGAAGAACTTGTGTTCATATGTTCTATCGTTGTCGATGGAATTATTTTTGACAAAATGAAACTCTTGTACACAGCAAAACAGCAAAGGTGGCCACTATGGTTGGATAAAGACTCCCTTTTTAGTAATTAAAATATATTTATTTGAAAAGACCAACCTGAGTGGAAATGACCATTGCTGGCTTCCGGTAGCAATGTGCGAAACCTTTCAGTCACGTGCCATACTTGGACATGGCGAGTAATTATGTGATAGCCTTCCGAGCCTTTTGGTTTTCCGCATCCTCGATCGATCTCCGTTCCTTCGAAAACCGGTAGTATTGGTACACATTTTGGATCTAACATCGTTTTAGGATCAACTGGTTGGACATCGGCAACGTTCACATCCTGCAAATACAAAATTGTTGCATGCGTTATGATAATTCTAGTAGAAATATATGACAGTAGTAGCCTGTCAGCAAATCTTATCTATCAAGTGTTTATTTCCTGAGTTGATCAAAGGGGTTTTTCCACTCATCTTTTTCAACTGAGACTGACAATCTTCAATGGCTAAACTACTTGATTTTTTGAAGTTCTTGTATTCGCTACAATGGTAAAAACTTAGCCCCATTCATCAACAAGCAACACTCTTCCCTTGAAACAAGATCCCTTTAATGCTATGTTCCTAAATCAGGGCTCTTAGATGATTACAAGCTACAAACAAATTTAGGCCACTATCAATGCCATATTTCTTAAAAGCAGCGTTAAAAGTCATTTCCAGAGGTACAGAAAAAAACTGGGCATCAAATACATAAACAGTATACAACACACACCTTGGTTAATACTCCAACTGTCTGCGGTCCGCCTTTCATTCGTATTATTCTTGATTCATCAGGCCAATCACAAAATTTTTCTTTAAAAATCACCCATTCAGCTCCCTCATACATTGATAAAAATATACTATGCTGGGGTCTGGGAACTAAGTTTTCTTTGTCCTGTAAAAACTTATGTACACTAAGTTTTCTGTTAATACTTTGTTTCCTTGTTGGCAATTCTGTTGTGGTAAGCGAAATTTTCCTAGATTTTCCATGGTGATGAGGAGTTGAAGCTGATATAGGCCTATAGTAGCCTTGCTCGAACTTCTCACGGGCTAATTTCATGATTTTTTTTCGCACATTCGACATGGTTTGGCGTCCAATCCACACGTAAACTTCAGTCAAGAAGTCAAAAACATAGGCCTGTAAGAAAGAGGGGACATTATTTTGCAAGAAGCAAGAGCAGAAAAGCAATACAAAACTATTCAATCTACATTATAGCTTGAAAAAAGGTCACATGGTACGAGGGAAAAAAGCGAATTGTAAAAAACGTTTCGAGCATAGCACGTTATCAAGTCAATATCATCATGTCATTAATGGACTACGCTTAAAACTTCGTTTTTATGAATCTGCTTATTTTCCTCGTACAATTTTTAAAGTTATATTGTCACATTATATTGTAAAGAATGAAAGCTAGTTTATTTACAAAAACATGAATATCATGATTGTAAAATGTTTTAACGGACTTTAATGGCATATACGTGCATAAAAAATAAATAGACAGGACATGTAATCGACAAACAATTGCTGATATAAAAAACTATTAATTTTCGGTATAACATTTATCAAAATGCTTGTTGACAGAAAATTATTGTTATGCTTTCGAATCAAGCCCAAGACATGGCAAAAAGCAACCATTAAATGACACAAACACTTTTAGATTCCTTCAATCAAAGGCATTTTGGAAAAATTACGAAAATATAGCAAAGTAACAAAACCCATGAACGAACATACTTCATCAGTTCTCAGTATCTCTTTACTTGGTGATCTCTGGCACATATCATAAACTGGGACCAATTCGGGTGGTTCAGAATCTTGTAAACTATACGCCATCGATGTGTTCATCATATTTCGCTCGTATTCCTCGTCATCATCAGTTTGATCTAGCATGACAAAACAGGAAAGATTACATAATAGTTTATGAACTTTTAATTCTCTAGATATACTAGTTTTGCAATTAAATGGAAGTTTTGCTTAATAGAAGAGAGACTGCTTTTATATCATACAGTATTTCAGGCAAGAATAAAATCTCTCGAGGATTTAAAAACAAGACTTATAGGCAAAGCAATTGAAAATGAACATAGTCTGGTGCTTTGAGCATTTTTTTAGCTTTGTCAATAGGTTAGTTTTAACATTCGCAGTAAACACATATCTACTCTGGCTGGGAATATGAAAAAATACCTACAAAAATTTCAGGAACGATGTGAGAAACCCCAGTTTTATGAGTAATAATGAGTTTATAATCACGAACCTTTAATGTTTGTTCTCCCTTCAGAACCAAGCATTCTGAACACCCTGCTTTCGTTCTGGCCATCTTGTTCAAAATACACAACATCCAACGCTTTGCAACCCATCTCTTTCTTCTGATTGATTCTGGAAGCAATCTCTGCTGCCTGCAATGAAGCAAAAATGGTTGGTTAACCTCCATGTGAATTTCATTGAAAAGCAATAGATAGCTAGGGATAATAAATATTTGTCTTATATACACTAATTTAGCGTTTCACATACAGCAAAAAAAAAATAAGCTTATAAAATTGTTTTGGTTTCCAGGCACCTAGGCCTTCCTGGCCCCAAACCTGAACGACAAATATTTCTGTTGCGAGGTCTAAATTGTGGGCTCGAATCAGCACGTGTCTACGCGCTACATGGCGAAAGGCACAATGTTATCCACTACATCACAGGTACAGTATAGTTTTAGATCGATATTATATAGTTTTTCTATTGCCTGAACAGATAGCAGCATCTTTATATTTACACTTGTAAGCAAAGTACAACGGTCAGAGCTCACATTAAAAGCCTGCTGAGATACGCTGAACGTTGTACTGGTGAATAAAGAGAACTTTTGTTACAGGACAAAGACACTTGAAAAATGGAAGATTACTGCTTATTTGTTCCACGTAGACGTTGCTCAGAACTTTTACATGTTTATCTACCATTTTGTACAGAGAAGCGTATAGAGAAAAATTAATGAGACTATTTCTGAAACCTTCTAGCCCCAGCTAACATTAAGAAACATTTCAAAATGGCTTAGTGGTTTTTGTCTAAAGTGGTTTTGAATTTACCTTGGCCTTTTCGATAACATTTGCATTACGACCATGCCAACAAAAAAGCTCCTTTGGAGTAACAACGACAAAGCTGTCATCACTTGTCAAAGAGTTTGTGTTAAAATCAACGACGTTTATCTGCACATGACGACGGCCTGAATAAAACAAGATAATTATATAGTTGGATATCCAATAAAGCCATGCTAAGAAAGCAGAGCTTCAATTACTTTTGTTCAAAAAATTATGAAAATCCGTTGTTTTCAATGAGCAATCCACTTCGTTCCTATAGTTCCAATAAACACAGATATGGTTTATTTTTTTAATAAGAATGATAACATGAGATTAAGATCTAGAATTTCCCGAAGAAGGTACAGCCTGACCAAAATGAGTAGCTTGGCATCTTTAGAACTTATCTATTCTGATGAGAAACCGGAAGACAGCAATGAGCAGTTTATGAGAAAAACACTTCAAGAGATCATTTATAAATATATTTCACATCGAAAAAATCAAAACATTCTAATTTTTTCAATATCATAAAGAAGTCATGCTCAACTGAAGGTTTGATGGCAAAAATTTCTCTCCGTGTGAAAAGTTGCTGTTTACCTTTTATTTTCAATAGTAAGTTGGTGACGTTCGATTCGACAACTCCTCCCGTCTCGGGGGGTTCTCCATTCACTGACTGCCCAGGTATCTTCACTTTCTTTAACTTTACTTTTGAGAAATCTTCAGTTGATTGCAGTGCAGCTTTTGCTTCGTTTGCAAGTGCTACCTTTCGCCCTATTAAAAACAAGAAGTTAGCAATAAGACAAGTCAGTTTTATAAACACTGGAGAGGAGGTTACTGCCCAAAGTGGAAAAATGTTTAAGGAGCCTCTCACGTCTTTATCACAAAATTCAGAAATTTTCAATGAATAATTTTATTACCAGCAACAATAGTGACTTCGACTTTATGCATAATAAAAAAATAAACAAAACCAAAAAGTTAATAAGAACAGCCAATTCTAAAAAATTATGTCTTAATAGCAGTCATTGACAGAAATAGCTTCTTGCAATCTTTATTTCTGGGTCTCAATATTGTTTATTGATCAAAGTCAACATAAATAACCCGTGCATCAAATCAAACAGTCGATTCATGCTTCGCCATTCCAAGTTTCAAGTTTTCAAAATTATCAGAATCCAATGAAATAAACAAGTCATCATGACCAAGTGCTATTTTTCACTCACATAATTTCAGACCAGCTGATTTCTCCGAAGATTTCTGGGAGTCTTGTTGGACATTCTAACGAAAGATGAAACAAGTTAAAAATTCGGGTAATAAAACAGGATTCGGGAGAGATAAAATAAAGGAGTAGTAAGATCGTTCTTTCAACTGTTATAAAATGAAAGAACTTTAAAAACAAATAAAAAATAATCGAATGCTAGAAAGGTTTGGATACTGAAATACATACAAACTTTTTCTTACTAGACGAATTACTTAGATAATTCAGGATTTGATTTAAATATCATCATCAAAAAACATAAAGAGTTCCACATGGACCAGTAAAAACAAAAAACGCTGGGAAAAAATACGTTTTCTGCTCATTTGTGAGTATTTGCTTTGGTTGACAAATAGCTATGAGCGTTTGGTTCATTAACGAATAGCAGTATCAGATCCATACACTTGCAGATATACAGATTTCATATCCGAGTTTCTTTCATCTATATGGTTTGTACCACTTCTATTCCATATGGCCTGTAATCTGACATACACGACAGACATACTGAAAACTCGGTATCAAACATCAAAGCATACTGAGTCCTTTGTGCTCCTTTACGAATACAAAACTGACATTTAACAAAAACAATCATTTAAATCGACGTGTATTTTAAAAGCAAATCAAAATTGAGAAAAACCTCTGATTTGTTATTGCTGCCAACTTCGGTAATGAGATCACTACGGGCTTGAAGTGTCTTAACAGGATTCGCTGGCGATCTTTTCTTTCTTTGTGGCTTTAGATGTCGCCTGTCACTAACTGATTGTAGCCTATCAATCAGAAATAACGGTTTATAAGAAAAGCTAGATGTCGTGTTTTCCAAAATCTGGCGAAAAACCCACAGATCTTCAAAGAACAAAATCATTGGCCAGACAAAAAAAACCACAATATACACAAATCTCAACGTTACAAAAGAACATTTATCGAGTGTGGCCAAAACTGCAGATAAGTTTTATTAAAACGGTTATTATAACGAATGTGTTTTAAACAATAGGCTTTCATAAATTCGAATTTTCTCGATAGCTAGAAAGCAAACTGTCTTTTTACAAAGACTTTTCCTGTTGTGAAATACTGACTAAGTGACATTTTTTTCGAACGACTTTTGAAAAAAACTATGCAGTTTTGATTAAGATCTCACAAGAAACGGGAATATACAAATAAGAAATTGCGGAAATTGTTGATAATAATGAAATAAAAGTTATCTGATTGGAGTTTCATATTGCATTGCCAAAAGTATCAATAGTAAAATCTTTATCAATGGTTTATTCATCTAACAGGTTTTTTTGGATTGTTCAAATGAAATTCCTCAAAAACAGTATAGTTGCAATGATAATGAATAATCAATATATTTACAAAGCAATATAAAAAATAGTAGACAGTATCCAGACAAAATCTTACGAGGCAACGAATTATTCTTTGGTAAGTAAGTCAAGAGATTTTTACTTACTGTGTAACACTTTGCGATATCCAATCCATGTCAGATTTTGGTTCAGCTGGCTCCTCTTGTTCTTTGATTGTCTCTTCAACAGAATCAGAACCCTTGTCAAACGAACCACTTTTGAACTCGCTCATGGCACTCATGAACTCTTTCTTCAAAAGCCCGAGAGGCTTCTCCTTATCCTCCTTCTCCGGTTTTTCAGCCTTTTCGTCAATGACCTCCAACATATCACTAGCAGTCTCTTCCGTGGTTGTTCCAAGAAAAGGCTTTCTAGATCGCAGTGGCGACCCCTGAGCTAAAGAAGGGTTTATACCAAGCTCTAACGCTACTTGGTCTGCTGTTAGACCTTCAGATGCAAGCATAATCTCAAGCTGGTCTTCAGCTAACTCATCGAAATGTTCGTTCTTCTTATTTTCTACTTCAATCCTAATCTCCACCTCACTGAGAGTTTTCACATACTCAGCCTCGTGTCTCTGTTTAATATCACTCTGCAATTGCTTGAATGTAAGATCATCAATACCTGATATCGTGAAAGGTCGATCTTTCCGTACCCCCTTTTTCCTCATTGAGACCTTACTTTTACTTGGCTTGTACGAGTCTTCAACTGCTTGCATAAACCTTTGTTTTAATGACGAAACTGAAGGCAATGGTTCATCTTCATCGCTATCCACAACCATTGGCAACTTTTTCAATTTCCTAATCGATTCTTCGACAATTGATTCACTAGATTTGCTATCTTTATCGTTTTCATTGTCTTTAATTGACAAATCTTCCATTGAAGTAGCCAAAGATGCCCCAATGCTTCCAACCCTACTGTTTACCTCACTGACGATAAAACTTCGTCTCTTCAGGTTTTCTGTCGAAGCAGATAGTGCTAAATTTAGCCTTGTTTGGTCAACGCCAAGCTTATTTGGGTCTTGTTCCGCGGATGCTATTTGGTGGGCGGCTTCTAACAAGCCAGGGGCGATACCTTCCGTTATCGTTTTATATCTTTTACCGGACCTACGCTTCGCTTTTCTTTGCACTTCTGGAGTTTTTGGAGTTTTCGAGCCAGATTCAGATTGAAGTAGCCTTTCTTTAAGCTGAGCTATTGATAGCTTCTCTTCCACGACAACAGCCTCTTCTTTAGCTTTGATATCACTCAGTAAGAGGCCGGGATCGATTCCTTGGGTAAGAGTTTTAGGCCTCGATCTGATTGGCCGTTTTGTTCTTTTTTGCAAAGAACTGACGTCATCTGCCTCATGGCTGCGTTGAATTCTCGGTATTGGTGGCTTCGATCGCAACAATGGTGAACGCGTGCCATTAACAACTATTTCTATATCTTGTTTTATTTGATTTTGCGGCGTAACAACTATTTCTACCCCTAAAGGCAAAGACATCGTCCGATCTTTTCGAAGTCTCTTGTCGATTTTCTTTTGCTTGATTTTTTCCTTTATAACACTTCGCGTTGTTAATTTTGTAAGCGAGCCACTGCTTGAAGATTCATAACTTTCATCGCCGGTATCAACATCGTTTGTTTTTGCGCCTATTTTAAGTTCAACAACATTGGCGTTTTCTATTGTATCCTTCGACGGTATTTCGAGAGTCGTGTCTGGTACAATTTCAGTTTGATTGACATCTACTTTTTCGTCTAATGACTCTGATTTCTTTTCAGCTTCGATGTTACTGACCACAGGTTCTTCAATCAACGAAAGTGGCTTTTCTTCTACTGCATCGCCTGTAATTTTCAAACTTTTTACGTCCTCGCTGAGAGTGGCACTTTCATTAATATTCGCAACATCTTCAGCTCTTGCACTAGATTCCCGCCTCACTTGTTCTTTTACCTTCTCCAATTCTTTAGGATCAACTTGTCTCAGTCTATTCGAACGCCTTTCTCTCCGCCTCCTGGATCCAGCACGCTCAGTTGTATTATCTTTTTCTTCATTATCTCCATCTAATTTGTCATTAACTTGCAAGGTATCTACAGTTCCATTGACGGCTAACGGTTTTTCGCGACAAAAATCTTTCTCTTCAACATCTGGTGTAACCACATCAGCATCTGATATCACACTGTCGCCTTGGCTTTGAATCTCGATATTGCTTGCTGGCTCTTTTTCTTCGAGCACCTCTTTCTGTTTTTCAGCTCTCGAATTTTCTGATTCATCTACAACTCCACTCGATACGTCCGATTGCTGCTGAGACTGTACAATTCGCTTTCTCAAAGGAACCCGGCCACTAGTTTCAGTTTCTGTTGCAACCAAAATATCTGTACTTGGTCTAGGCTCATCCTGCGTTATATCTGGGCTCAGTTCGTTTTCAGTTTGCCTTGATATCAAATTGTCTTCTTTACTTTTAGATTCTAAAGTGTCATTGTCTTTTCGCTAGATGTGTTCAATATATCATTGGAATCGCTTTTAGGTATCTCTTTTTCGATAGTTATCTCCTGCATTGGATCCGTCCGTCTACTATCCCGTGCATTTGTGACAACACTTTCCTTATTTTGTCGGTTCAATCTTTTGTCAATTTGGGTTGTTTCCTCGACCTTCTTTCCATGAGTGGTACCTTGTTCTTTAGAGCTTTTCTTTTCGCGTGTTTTGAATTTCAATACAGAATCACTTGCAAGTCTTCTTACAGGCGACTTTGTAGAAAGATCTGTTGTTGCACTTTTCCCGGTAGTCTCTCTTTGTTTAGAAACAGTTCCTGGGCCTCCACTTATTTTGTTTCTCTCTTTTAATGGAAGTCTCTTGTCGCCACTTCCAGACAAATCTTTCTTGCTAGATTCGTCACTATCAAAAGTTCTAGACTTCTGAAATAAAGCTCTCTTTTCACTTATACTTGGAATCGTCCGACTACTGTCACCACTCTTTGATTCGTCATTGCTCGTAATTTCTTTAATTCCGGCCTTGCGCACTCGTGGTTCTACCTTGGCCTCTTGAGTCCAACGTCTAGTCACTGGCTTGGACGGCCCCGTGCTCTTTTTCAAATCACTACTAGATTTTCCACTGCTTGCTTCGAATAGATGTTTACTTTTCATAAATTTCGATGACAAATATGATGATTTCTGTTTTGAAGCTGCTTGTTCAGGTCCTAAAACTGGCTTAGTGTTTCTGCTGTTTTGCTAGTTTTCACTGTTTCAGTCCTTGCAACTGTCGCAGCCTCCTTTGCTTCCTCCTCTTTCTGCCGCAAAACTTCAGCAAACCTTGTTCGCCTCGCACTTACATAGGCCATTTCGTCCTCCGAATCTTCTGCCTGTGCTAAGGGTGCTCTTGGTGTGGCGTCCGGTCTACTTTCCTCTATTGATACACTTTCCTTTGTAACTTCATCACTGGAATGAACGGTAACATCTGACTGTGAGATCTGCGCTGCAGTATCAAGTATTTCTGGTTGCGTGGAATCTTTTTCCCCACGTGATTCCTTCCCTTCACGTGACGTGCCGTGAACTTCCTGACGTGCTTCAAGTATCTCCTTTTCAGCTGAAAAACAACATCCAAACAATAATAGAATAAAACAATGCTTTCCTATTAATACAAAGAAAGTAAACTTTTTTGATATTGTCAGGAACAAAGGATTAAAAACGAATCAAAACGTCAATCCTAAAACAGTTCTCACAAAGCATTTGGTTTCTTCAACAGAAATGATAGATGCTGCCATTCTATTATCTTTGTTCAAGAAACCTTCATTGCCATAATCACAAAGAAATTCTACATTAAATCAACTCTTACAGAAGCAATACAAGAATTACAGAACCCGAACATAGTAGAATTTCTGTGATCGACAAACTAAGAATAAAAAAGGATGAACGAAAATAAAATAAGTTGTCTAAAATAATTCCTTTAATTTTCCAATAATTCCTGCTTTCATCATACTTTTCAAACATTTCGCTATTTGAATAAATTCATTCACTCATCTTTTCAATAACTTCAGCTTTAGATATCCACAGATCCAGTAAAATCGATAGAAAAAATATTATCCAACAATCGTAGGTAACAAATCATTATCTTACTGGAATGTATTTAAAAGCTTTATCAAATTTGAAAAAAACACAAATGCCCTCTTTTAAGGTGTTTATCATCGTCATGTTTCATCTTATGACGTAATTTTTTCCACTTTACTAGGCCTATTATAGCTGCAAGGTCGGTAGAACTCCCTACTATAAAAAAGGAAACCATTGACATAATCACTCAAATAAGTATTTATAAACACAAATTCAAAATACGTCTTTTTGATAATAGCAGGTCATGCTCTTTGCAATATGTTAAGTTGACTTTGAAAAACGCTGTTAATTCTGTATATTTCAGCATATTGGGCAAATGAAGAAAGTTTCAGAAACAAAATCCTTTATGTTTACATCACGCAAACACGAACTTTAAGTAATGATTTATTTTTAATGTTGATAATGATACAATAACAACAGCTCGTCGGACCATTGTCTATTCTGACAACGTTTCGTTACATTGTGATAGCTTTGTCAATCATAGTAAAAACACTGTGTTACCAATTGTCAATCATAGTAAAAACACTGTGTTACCAAGTAAATCGAATTTTTCGTATGAAAGGTATGACGCATTTCCGTAAAAAAGCAAGCAACACATAGCAAAATAAAAATAATAGGAGAAAGGGGAAAAATTGAGTTACAACTGTGGTAAATTACAGTTAAAATGACTGATACTAAAAGATCTTCTTATTAAAGGATTAAAGTTTCAAAACTAAACAACTAATAAATCACAAAAAAGAGGATAACATACAAACTTGGCTTTTCTTCCTTTTTGACGACCGTCTCAAATAACTAGCAAAACCTTTCTCTTCCTTCTTTTCTTCTGATTTCTCCTTTTTCTCTGTGGTTTTGTTTTCTGAAGAAACTTGAGCAGCCTGTTTTGAGGCCGCTTTTTCGTCTAATAACTCGCTGGTTCTCGATTCCCGGCCTAATCTCCACAACAACGACCTTCTCCGTTCTCGTTTCGGCTTTTCGCTACTCTCCTGTACTTGAGGTTCTTCAGGAACAGTACTCCGAGTACCAGATGACGATATCTTTCTTAGCGATCTTCCAAGCCAAGATGATCGGCGTTCTCTATGATGGGGTGTTTGTTCTCCGTCTTTGCCTTCTCTTGACACTGTTGACAAACGCATAAGTTATAAGAAAGTTTTCTGAGGAGAAATAATCACTCCAGGCACTGAATGGTATCTGTTATCATAACGGAAAGTCGCCGCGGATCAACCTGAGGAAATACGGTTTCTACACAGAAGCACTTTTGAAATTAGCTGGACAAAGTTTATATTCTCCCGTTTCCCGCAAGGAATTTGTGTGATTGTGGCAGATATGAAAAGTTTTACATATTTTCAGAAGAAAAAATAGACATTTCATTATTGATTGTGCATGAAAGTCATACATTACAAAGTATTGTAGTTTAATTTAATTCTACGCACTACGCAGACAGTGACGTTTACAGATACAGTTAAATGAAATTAATTCAGTTGTAGGGACTGACACATACTTCATCAAACCTGTATTAATCCGAATGTAATCTCATCTTACCGGTTAATCTGATAGCCTTTATGTTATACAAACTGAATTCTAGCATTTTCTTTTATACGAATCCTGTGCTCTTTTACTCTATCAGTCATTTATAGGGAATCGTGAGAAAAAAACGATAAATAATTATCCTTATCAAGTTTGAAATAATGGAATTTCTTTCGAAAGCCTAGCACACGATTGACGATTTTGAAAACAAAGATGTTTAAAGCACTAAAAAGGAAAATTTTAACATAGGTATGAGAAGACTGGGGAAGGCTGCAGCCCCATATTAACTGCCTAGCTGTACAGTAGAAACCCGCATAAAAGAACCTAGGTTTTTGTCTGGCAGCCTGAATAATTAACAGGCTACTATTCTAAATTCCAATCTAAAAGGGTCTTAACAAGGCTCTTGCATACAACAACAATGTTTTCCACTGCAAGAATTCTAATGAAGACACTTAAACAAGCTTTATTTATGTTAAATTTCAACCAATCTAATGAATTTGTGTTGTTAGATTGTCCAATTAGAATGCAACATACCATATCCTGATTTACTCTAAAAACCTTTTTTTCTTATATATATATAAGAACCTTTCCAAATTTCAGCCTCCTGGGGGTCCTTAATCATGGGGTTTTAAAGGTTAAATTTCAACCTCAATGTTCTTATAAAAACAGGTTCTTTTATGTGGGTTTCTACTGTATAATATGTCCTTTATAACAGAGTACTGTGTAGAAAACAACTGGATTGGCAGCCTTTATATTTTTTTGGGTTGCGTGAAAATTTATTCTATTGTAGACAAAGCTATTGCAACTTGTGGTGCTTTATGAAAACAACTATTACATGTATATTAATTGTGTTAAGAATGAAATGCAAAGAGTTTCCCATCTCTTAGAAAATTGCTAGGGCAAAAGGCAAAATCTTACTTGTCCTGAATAGAGTACAAAACCTGAGGGCAGGGGGCAAATCAATCCATGAAAATCTCTTACCACATTGGTGGAAATCCTATTGTTTCTTCTAAAAACCCCTGAAAACCCTTTCGTATTTGTGCAATCTCGTACGCTATTTGGTAAGGGTTAATTTCCTCTTGGCAGAACCAGTCACAGAGAAAGCACAAAAGTTGTCTTCGAATATAGTGACAAAATCCCATCGATATGACATAAGAAATTCTTTTAAAATCGGCAGGCTTTACAAATCTTATGAATATCTATGTTAGTGGCTCAAATATCAATAAGGAACAAACAGAATCAAAACGCGTCAAGACGAAACTGGGAATAAACGAAAAGTTAATCTCCTTCAATGCACTATTCATGACAAGGGTAATTATCTAATGATTTCTTATGAAAAGCCAGTTTTGTTGGAATATATTTAATCAAGAAGAAAAATAATTTTGAATAAGCTTCTTTGTGAAAAAAATTATTTGCCTTAACTAAATCCTAAAAAAACATTTACAGTATAAAGAAGTTCTTAATATTTTCTTACCACATACCTAATGAAATATAAATGGGGATGGGCTTTCATAGAAAATAATGAAAATTCAAGTGAACCAAATGCAAACATGGAAATCCTTATGCTGATAAGGAATGATCGTTTTCAGGAACTTTATATTGAAAAGATATTTTACACGCCTACTGCCATTTTGTGGGTGTCTTTTTAATAGCTTGATAACGATAGATTAATAAAAGTGGGCTCTGTAATTAGGGTGTGAAAATATATTGTGATACGTCATTCTGAAGAACAAGGCACAGCAAGGAACATAAGATTAAAAGGAACAAGGCACTACAAGGAACAAGGCACTACAAGGAACTAGGCAGAATGTGTCATGGTCTTATTTTTGGAACTCTATCAGATACACCTCAACCACCATTTTCTAAAGTAAGGCAACTCTATGCAGTACGATGTAACACCATGGTAAAAATAATGCGTATTACGTAGAAGTACACAGGTTATAAGGCTCCACTCAGAAACACTGACTGGGATTGGTAATACAGGCTATGTGTGAGAGCAAAAAATGACTAGAATATGAACATTCTATAGACTCTGTGTGGATTCAGTTATGCTAATAAAGACAATTCTGAAACAGAAACTCTACGTTACAGCACATGCATTTGCCAGAACGTTATGGGGATTTATATTTATCATGAATAGACATGAATTCATTTTCATATAGATTTAATAACTGCCTCAAAAAGATCGTATATAGTGTTTCTCTGAAATCTATCTCAATAAAAGCTACATCATACAAATTCAAGTGGACTAAAGTCGTTTTTCAAAAATGAAAATGTCGTCATGAACAACAGAGACAAAGAAAATATCAAATAAAATCGGTTTGATATTTGGCGTACGGTGTATGCAGACCCAGGAGCTACATACTGATTGCAAACATGCCAACCGTACCCCCGTCGCTGAAAATACATCACATTAAAGAAACAAATAACAGTTTATTTTATGATACGGAGTGCATACAGTAATGTTCTAATATAATAAGTAGTATAAATAATTGATTTTTGTACACCTGTATCTCAAACAACCCTGGTTTCCATATTTCCTCTGGTATTCCCCGAGTCTGATTCCGAAGCAACTTCGGCTATCCGTTATACTATGCACATAAACACGCCCATAAACACGGCATTTCCTCGCCCGAAAGTCTTCCGATTTAGCCACCGATTAATGCAGAAAAAATTAATGGGTACCGTGGTCGTAAAACGCAGTCTGCTCTCAAACAGACATTTCTATTTTCGATCATTTAATTCGCATAAACTACCGGAATGAAAAAGTCTTACAAGCTGGCAGCAAGTCGTAATTCAATTCATAGTTGGAACATCCCAAGACCAAATTAGGCCTTAAGTCTACTCGTTTCTTCAAGAACTTTGCGTCTTGATTAAAATACCTTTGGAAGAGAAATCGTAAGTAGCTATAACTGGATGCAACAATGTCCCATAAAGACACAGTCTTGGGTTACGACTGCTTCCTAAATGATGACCGTTAAATATAAACACATACCTGGAGAAAACAAAAAACCAAAGCACACCTCGTTATTGAGACTTGCGAAAGCAAACCAAAGAAAGGTCGAATAATCTGCAAATCCACAATAACAATTCCATTCTCAACGAAGATGAATTATTAACAACCTGGATGTAAAATGCGAACAACAGTCCTTTTTCTACAGCAATCGATGACAGATTCACAGCAAAGAGAAGTCAAAATATCGCCACCAATGACGTAAACAAGAAATGCATTCCTCGACACGAACACTACAAAAAAGCCTGCCTGACTTGCCGTTCAGTTTGCCTAGCCATCGCTGACTATCCTGTCGAGCAAACGGCACAATAACAAAAACAAACTGCGATATCCAAAAATAAACACCCATTCAATATTCAGTGATTTTTGCACTTCTCATTAGAACCTTTGGAAATACAACGTCGCTGTCTCTTAAAAAAGCTGCTAAACAAATTGCTTTTATGAAAAATTATGAAATAGGATTTTCTGAGTTGTGTAGACAGTATGCAACAAGAATATACTCTCTTAACGAGGTTAAAAAAAAGTTACTTTGCTATGATGTGTTGCTGTCGGTGGCATTATATGGGACGATAAGACCTGCAACAGCAATAGCCTTAACAAGATTGCTGGTAAAGTTTACGGAGCAGTAAAGCAATTAAAGAAGAAAGGGGTTCTATCGAAGATTACTGTGCACAGCCTTTAATACTGGCGGTCCGTCAATCAATAAATTAATAAAAGCATGGATTGTTGCCTATTTAATTCTGTGAAAGAAGTTGATCTTTCAGGCTAATGTGCAAGCTAACAAGCAGCTGTATTATGGGCACAAAAATTGCTAGAAACTAAAGAACATGATGACTTTAAAAACACGAGATTATACTCGCCTAAAGGCAAATAGCAAATCAAATGCCCCTTTTGGGTACTCTGAACTATCCCTAAAGATAAGAAATCGGAAGAAATAAAACAATTAGAAAGACTGCATGAACAATGTTTCAAATTTGCTTGCTAATGCTACAATGCTTTGTTAGTTGTTAACTTATAATCATCTTCATTAGCAAATTTCCATTATCTCACCCAAACAACTTCCACTTCAATGCAAATGATAGCAATGAAATTCAGCTCAGCTCATGGGTCTTTCAGTCAGCATAACTCCTTTGAAATAATGTGGTTTTCATAGAGCACTTTGTCTTTCGAACCAGGACAAGATGACATAAATGTCCACGACAACCAGCCTCGCCTATCGATATCTTAACATTTAAACTTGTCAACTCAAGAGCATAAAGGAAAGTTGAGAACTGATGTCCACGGACAAACGATAATCAAATCAAACAAAGAGCCATAAAAACGCGAAAATTTGAATTGGATATGCAACAGTTAATGCCGCGGTATATTAAAGAACAAAAGATTGGGCGAGGGTCGCTTTGCTTCATTGCAAAGAACATTCAAAGCGCTTATATTTAGGGAGGAGGACATCTCGCTACACAATAAATCAAATTAGGCGAGTTTATTCAATATACCTCATACTGTAGCGAAGACATATGGAAGAAAGATAGTCAAGTAGCTTTCTTAAGTTGTAAGTACATGGCTGAACCAGGGACAAAATT